CTGAAATGTCAGCTTTCCTGCTCCTCTGATGCTGCTTGGCCTGCTGTGTTCACCCAGCTCTACGCCTTGTTATCTCTGTTTATTTTCTTTTTTTTTCAGAAGTCAAATTTCTGGTAGTTATATTGAAAAAATAACTTCCTGTGGTATAATTTTAAATTATTGCAGTTTTCCTATGTTGAAGCCAACATCTTGTACTTTAATAAAAACATTGAAATGTGGATGTTGGAAAACTAACAAAAACAGTGCTGGAGAAATTCAACTTCAAAGATTTGCAACATGAACTCCTAAATCGCCATCTACAGATGATGGCAGACTCCTGAGTTTCTCTAGCAGTTTCTGTTTTTGTACCTTGTAGCTCAATAAGTTTATATTTCCTCCTCTATTCTAAGTATGTTTTTAAATTTGTACATTTGCCTTTTTTATTTCTAGCCATTGAACTTGCTCTGATTTGTTTTTGCTTTCCCTAACCCTACATCTTGAATACGAATGATCTTCATTGCTGTAATTATTAACATTCACCATTCACCATTTGTTTGCCCTGGCTTGGAGGAAGTACATCCTCCTGCGATTGGGTCTACCTTCTCCAGAATTGATGCCAATGCCATATCTCCTTCTCGAGTAATGATGCTGAAATTACATGCTAATATTGAACATGTTTTACAGAACCTGATCAACCATGCAGTTTAAATTAAGAACTCCAAATGGATGACCTTTTAAGGGCCAATGTGTTACTGCACTTCATTTGTATTTGGTTTTAGGTTTGTTGATTACTAGGTTCGTATTTCAATTTAGTCATGATGGAAGAACCAAAATAGTAACAATAGTAATAATTATTATAAATATATTGGTTTTTGTTTTCCATAACTTCCACACCCAATAATATCAAAATCTAATGAATTTTACTGGTTGACATTTTTGGTTCAAACTTTGGACATGGTTCTACATATGGATATGTTTCTTAACACTACATTCAACTTTCACTTTGATAAGTCATAAACGTTAATATAATTCATCATTTTTTGATAAGAAAAGTGTGACAAATACACAAACCATATAATAATGGAAATTTGTAGCTGACAGCTGACAGATTCTATATATCAAAATCAAATTTCCACTTGAATATTATCTAATCTTTGGATGTATTTTAATGGTTAATAAGTATGTTTACTCAGGCCCATTTCCTCAATTACACCAGCAGCTGCAACTTTAGCAGTGACGTCAAGTGGAAATGCGTTACTAACATTTATACATATTGCAACACTTCAGCAAACAGCGTTGCTCTTTTATAACATTTCTTCGATGCTGTAATGCCTGTTAATCATCTGACAAATAACTGATATGGTTAAACACAAAATTGATAATCTGAGCCACATCAGTAATCATTGCTGCAATTGCAAATGATAATAGCGATCATTATTATTAACATTTTCTTTCTTTGCTATTTTGCTTCTCATTACTTAGCATATTTCCATGAATGTCCTTATGTTCTCCCTTCAGTGATTCACAAAGCAAATGGATAGGGATGTAAATATTGGGAAGCTGTGTTGGGGTGGGTCCTTGTTGCATTCCTGAAACTTCCCAAGGGTGGTCTAAAATACAGATTGATAGCCTGATGAATGAAGAAAGTTTTATTATAAGCTATTTTTGTTAGTTTATTGGATGTGAACATTGCTAGCTTGGCCAGCATTTATTCCCCATCCCTAGCTGTCCTTGAAAGGGAGGTGGTGAGCTGCCTTCTTGAACCAGTGCAATCCATAGTTTATAGGTACACACATGATGCTATTAGGAAGAGAGTTCCAGGAGTTTGATTTTTGTATCGGTGAAGAAATGGTGATATAGTTCAAAAAGGAGCTGAACATGTACATCTGCCAAACTCTGTTTACAGTGAGATGACCTATTATTCCTGTTAAATGTCTGCAACCATCCTCTTCCACTCATTGAAAGTTGTATGAATAAGACCATGATGGCATGTGTTGGTGGTATGGTATGGTTCCAGCTTCTCTTCTGAGTGTTGTATGTGCTGCAGTGTCAACAACCATCAGCTTATTGTTAAAGCCTAAGAGCCTATTTAGTTACCAGTGGTGGAAGAAAACCAAGTGAGTCTAAACAAGAAGAGGCTGTTTTCTTAAACGATGTCTTCCCTTTTTCCCGTCTCAATCCAGAAATGCTGTTACACACAACTGAACTTTTTTACCCCATCACCAAATCACTCATGGTCACTCTGCTTTCTTAGTTTGTTATAGTAATCAGTTGCCAGTTAGTAGCAGTAAGTTAGACATTGCTTTGGAAACTTTGCGAAGACCTAGAATATTGGTCTTCACTGTACAAGATGCTAAATTGAATTTGGCCTTTCTCTGCAATCTGAGTAATTGAGTCCATCTGATTAAGTGGACAGTTTTGAAGCTTCTAATCCAGGCAGGTTATGATGTAAATATCAAAGATTATGATGGCTGGGCTTCACTTCACGTTGCAGGACACTGAGGTAAGGAGGAAACTTGCCGAATTCTGGTAGAAAGCTTCTGTAATTATGGAAATGATCAACAGCATGCTTTGTTGCCTCTTACATTTTTTTTGATATTGGTAACCAG